AGCCAGACCGAACTTCCCCGACCTCAAACCTTGTGGGCGGGACTAAGTTCGGACTGGCAACCAGGCTAACTTTTTTCCCTCCGGGCAGCTCTTGCTTTGGCGCTTTTGCCACAAATAAGTAACTACATCCGGTCTCGGGAATATGAATAAACGACCACAAACGAGCCTTTTTTAATTTCTGTTCTAAAGCATTTTTGTTTTTGTTTCCCGAAATGGAAAATTTTAATTTGAATCATTTTTCAAATTTTACTTTTCTCTTTTTGACAATGAAAAAGATAAATGCTTTGAGTTTCAAGTTTCTTTTTTGTATTTTAAAACAAAAATCTAATCGCCATTTGCTTTTGTCCTCTTAAATTCCTGTTTCTAAAAAAAGAAAATCCAATGACCAAAAGATACAGGGACCGATTTACTACCAGTCATCTCAGTAAGAGACAAAATTAAATGCATCGCTGCAATCAAGTCAGTGGACGTGTTTATAAATGCTTCTAAGAAACAATAAATAATTGAACCACTAAACAATAAATCAATAGTCAGATATATGTTGAATAAATCTGGTTTCAAGGATAAATGATTAAAACACTTCTTGAACATAAAGGCCCAAAAATAGCTGAGGTGGGTTATCAATGGATAAATCATTACTTCATCGTTAGAATAATTATTGAATGACTGGTGTCATTTAACTTGTCAAGTTAACAAATAAACTAATAAACACACATTGATCTGGACCTTCAATCATCATTAGAACATGTTCTGGTTCTGCTTGGTTTACTACTTTAACTTGATCATTTTTCTGGGACTTTAGCTTTCAGTCAAATTATTTTTCTACATTTTTATTCATTATTTTTCATTATTTTAGTTTTAACCTGTCTCTCCAGTTGCTTCAACAGGTCCTTTATTCTTTATTCAGATTGGGAGGCTGCAGTTTGTCCGAAATATGCTGTGCTTCTTTAAGCTCAGCTCTGAAGTCCAACCCCTCCCATCTGACAGAACTGGACCTGAGCTACAACGACCTGAAAGATGATGGAGTGAAGCAGCTCTGTGGTTTTCTCCAGTCTCCCATCTGCAAACTACAGACATTG